AAAAAAAAAAAAAAAAAAAGGAAGTCCTCCCTGAGTGCTCTCAGGGGGCAGAAGTACTAAGGGAGGAGAAAGGATGAGGAGCGGATTGGTTGGGAGCATAAAACTCCTCAAGGAAGGGTGAGAGAACAACAGTTTCTGRAAATTAGAGATGATCATTTGTTCTGTTGAACGAGAGAAGTTTCCTGTTTCTTTGGTRAGACCTCCTAACCTTACAGTACATACACAAAGGAATGGCTTGGTATGTGTAAAGCGTTACAGAAGTACTTTGTATGGCTCTGTATCCTGCTTCGATCTTGATTTCAATTAGCACCATAAACGTAAGATACATGACTTCATCATRAAAATCAAATATGAGCTCTGAATTTTTGCTAGAAAGGAGAACCCAGACGACAGCTGTGTACAGGCTGTTCTGGGTGAGCTCAGAGTTGCTAGCAACCATACAAAGGGAAGAAAATAAAAYAAGGAGTATCTGGGGTGTGTATACTGGTGAGGGGAGGACACGTGCACCCCCTTCAATTAACATATCCACCTAATGAACCTGTCAAAGAAGCCGGGCTGGGAGAGGCTGGCATAGTCCTTCTCCCGRAAGATGGCTGCCCGGTCCCCGAGGCCAAGCTTCAGCAAGACATCCATGTCTACATCRCTCCCAAGAGCCAAAACTGTGGGCATGACATCCTGCTTCTTCATGGAGTCAATGGCCTCCTCAAGGTTCTGGCTTCCTGTGATGCCATCAGTGATAAAGACAAAAGAGAGCTCAGCATTGCGCCGGGCAACTCGTTGCGTGTCCCCAGGCCTGCGCACAATGTTGTTGATGGCGTGAATGATGGCCGACCCAATGTTGGAGGATGAATCCAGATATTTGATCTGCGCTAGGGCGTTAGAGATTTCAGTTAGGTTGTACGTCAGGGGGAAGACCACATCCTGCTCCCTCTCACTGCCATACTGCATGAGGGCAATCCTGGCATTCATGTTGTCAGTGTTGCTTCTGGCTAGTGTGAGCTGTTGGGCTACCTCCTCCACAAACTTGGAGGCCTTCCGGAAATTCTGCTCCCCAATCCTTTCAGAGCCATCGAGCAAGAAGACGACATCAACGGGGCGCTGTGTGCACTGGGCCACTGAAAGCTCTGCAGGAAAGAGAAAAACAACAGTTGGGAGTGGAAGAAAGCCTACAGAAGASTGGGGCTTCCCTTGTGCAGTGTGGGCTGGAATAGTCGCTGTGTATTTTGCCTAAAGGAGGACCAGTTGTTGGTGACTGATAACAGGACCWTTGCTTTTGATTGCCTCAGCTTGTGGGCACTGGCTCTTTATGGGCATTAATTCTGAGATCTATGAGAGACCACCACAAGCATCCATGACATTAGTCAGACCTGTGCTTTACATCCACTTTCTTATGCTAGAGCCCTGCCCTCCTCTGTAAAATGGCTAGAAATTAATGGCTTGTTGTCTTTGGCAAACCACTCAATTGTCTTTAGAGTGTGGTTGACTTTTGGAGGAATTCTCCAGGCACAGACCTGCTGGTTGGAAGCAGATTTCACACTGTGCCAAGATTGGTTTCATCAGTAATCACTAACTCCTGAAGCATTTATAAAAGCTAGGTCATGTGGTTAAAATATAGCRGGAAAATCTTCTCAAGTCATTCGGATCAGCAGAGTCTACAGAGGAGGCATGTAGGCATATGAATATATGCAGCGAATGATCTAAAAATAAACAAAACCCCCTGCCACACACACAAAAACACAAAAAAGGCAGAAGAAAACATCAACACACACTCTGCTGTTAGCTTTAGGTCATTCTTTTGTCCCCTTGTAGGAGCTATGTTGCATTTCATATTCTTCTGCACGCATTGCTTCCCTAAGAAACCCTTCAATTTCTGCATTTTTAAATATTGTTCCATATTTGAGATAAGAATTGAGTTTTCTTCTCCACCGAAAAATCACCAGGAAAAYGATTACAACAGCAGTGTTAGTTTGTGATGTATGTGCCAGGACTGGCCACTTCTTGAGTTTTTCCATCATGGCAGTAGCAGAGCAATAGYCATCCCACAGCCTGTCAAGCAATCCTATGATGAGGACTTTAGGGTTATATCTTGAAAGTGATAWGGTGAAAAAAAAACAGAGGAGACATCATGTTGTGCTGTATGACTGGCAAGCCACAGATGACTCTGGAGCAGCTTCAAACTTAACATCCATTTCCATTAGGGGATATSTTTTGTTGTGTGAGTTTCATATTAAGTTGAATTTCTGTATGATGAAAAAAATCCATTTACCTGACAAAATCCTCTTTCAGTGCTGAATATTCTTATACATAGGGCTGGATTCAGCACTGAGATACTAAAAACAAAGTGTTTTATAATTCCACCTATGATCTGAACAAAATGAATGCTTTTTTAGTAGGAAAGTATAGCTATACACAACAGAAAACTTAGCAGGTCTGTAGTGCATTTAAAAAGCCATCAGTAACTGCAGGTGACTGAACACAAAATTCAACAGCCTGGGACCGCACTCCCATGTAGCAGGAACGCTGATGTTACGCATTGTGCTCGCAGCTGGTTTGTCACCACTTCTGCCCGTGATAAAACAGCAATACCCGATACAGCCATCTCCAATAGGAAGTAACAGATATCTCTTCATAAGCTCTGTATAACATCACATTTTCAAATTCATTACTCCACTCAAAGCAATAAAGGTATGTACTCACCTCTGAATATTCTTAGAAAAGTGTTGTCTAGAGTAGATTCATATTGCAGATACTAGTGCCCAAGTGCTGGTACCAGAGGGCTATTTTACCTTGGCAGTACCTGTGGCAGTGAACTTACACTGCTTTGTGTGGAAATATTTCCAATGGAAATGGAATAAGCAACTACAATTCAAAGACATCTAAACTCACTTTCCTAAAGTCATATTGAACTCCAATCTTACCCAGCAAGACAGTTTAGCCCAAAGGTGTTCTTTACAAAGCAGCATTTGCTTTGGGTATCCAGTCGTACTTGTGTTCAAGGACTTCTCCTTAGTCTTGTGATTGGAGCAACTTAATTGAGTTTAATCTTAGATGCACCACAACAGGCTAAATCACACACTAATTTTTAGGATAAAAATCGAATAGAGGGTTTGGCCTTGCAAAGACTATCTATATGTGGATTATGAGAAGATGTTAGCATATATGGATTTGGATACAGACAGATCCTCATCCTTCTGCTAAACCTTTGACCCAAAATCCTGAGCAAACCATTTAAAGCTAGGAAGAGCTCTTTGAATCATTTTTCCTCCTTATATTCCAGTAGTAGAATTCTCTGAACTTCTTGTATTGCACAGACCATGTGCAAAAACMTGCTAAAATGCTGACGGCAAGGTTGTCTTTGAGCAGTTGCATTTAGCTTGGTCAC